TTTGTCTAAGTTAAAGAATTGAAAAACCAATTCAAGCCTCAAGTTGCAATCCTAAGAGATGCCATGGACAAAATCCTGAATGATCCAGGAACATGGAAGGAATACATAGAATCCCTGTACCAAAAATAACTGATTGACATTGAAATATCTCTGGGACGTGAGCCAACGGTAACAAAGGAAGAAGTCCAAGTTGTGTTGAAGGGGTCAAGACATTGGCAAAAAATAAGGCCCCAGGAATAGATGGGATACCGATTGACATGTTTCAACTAACAAGTGCCACCCTGGACTCACTCACTAGTCTATGGCAGGAAACTTGGGGAGAATCTGCCTGGCTGATTGACTGGAAGAGAGCCATATTTATTGGTATGCTCAAGAAAAGTGATCCAGCAGAATGTGGAAATTACCAAACAATATAATGAATATCACATGCAAGCAAAATACTGCTGAAGATCATCGCAAAATGGTTGGAACAGAGACAAGGAACCACCAGAAGTTCATGCTGAGTTTAGAAGAGGCTGTGGTAGCAATCGTTTTCTCATTCTGTTGGATCACCTTTGAAACTGAAACAAATATTCACCTCCAGAGTTGCATCTGTTTGCTGAAATATTTCAAAAACATTCCATTCGTTCCTAGAGCCTTGCTCTTTGCCAATGCCTTCAGTGCAGTTTGGACTTCTTTTTTTAATAATATAAAGTCTTAGTAAGCTCTAGTAGTATAGTCCATTGAGAGTTATACTGCTATCCCAGAAGGACATGCCTTCCCTTTACGAAATCAAAGCTATTACCCTGAAATCAATTCCAACCAGGGTAACCCAGGAAGGTAGAGAATTGCCACTTACGGGCTTTAAAGTTGTTAGAAACAAACTGCCTCAACTTTCTCCTTCAGAGAGCTGGAGAAAGATGGGCCCTCTCCTGTGCAATTTCTAGCTTAGGGAACCCAATGGAGGGACAGCTAAGACGTGGATCGACACCAGTCAGAGTGGGGCTATCTTTTGTTACAGTATACATTTATCTTTCAAAATATATCAGACAATGAGAGTTTGAAGAAAACATGGACAATATACAAATATATACAACTTTAGGTTATTGCTGTGATTATAAGATTGCAGTATCATTTGTTAGATGTTATTTAGTTTATATTGCATTGTTGTTGTTATGTGCCATCACTTTCTATGGTGGCTGTGATGCTTAGGAAAAAAGAAAGCTCATGTGAAATAATTAGAACTATGTAAAGAGGTTGATGGCACAATGGCTGCCATTCAGCTTGCAAAGGGTCAGCAGTTTGAACCCACCAGCTGCTCCTAGAAAGATTTACAACTGTGGAAACCCTGTGGGGCAGGTCTACTGTGTTCTACAGGGTTTCTCAGAATCAGAATCTAATTGATGGCAATGGATTTAAGGTCAAAGAGAACAAGAGCTCTGGTAGTTCTGTGGCTAGAGCATTCAGCTGTTAACCAAGGAGTTGATGTTTCCAATCCAGCAGCTTCTTTGAGGGAGAAAGATGAAGTGATTTTGGAAACAGCTTTGAAGACCCTTGTTGCAGTTGTTAGGTGCAGCTGAGTTGCCTATGATTAATATCAAGCCTGTGAACAAAGGATCTATCCCTTGCCCTATCCTGGGTCATCCTGACCTGCTCCTGTATACTTAGGCCCATTGCTGCAGTCACTGTGTCAATCATCATTCTGAGGGTCTTCTTCCCTTTCACTGACCTTCTACCTTTCCAAGTATGATGAACTTCTCCAAGGACTCGCCCCTTCTAACAACATACCAAATTGTGTGAAAAGAAGCTTCACCATCCTTGCTTCCAAGAGCACCCTGGTTGCACTTCTCCAAAACATATTTGTTCTTTTGGAGCCCATGGGAAATTCAGTGCTACTCAAGCAAATACCAAAGGCATCAATTTTTTACTCTATCTTACAGAGTCACTCTGAGTTAGAATTTCTTTCAGAGCAGTGAGTTTGGTTTGCTGAAGAGGTTCAATGACTATATTGTCTTCTATTGGTTATTTGATTTTATACTTCTGAAAAAGAATTTATTTCCTATAGATTTCCAACTTGATAGAGTTATGTAATACCTAAATAATTATCACTTTGATTGAAATTAAAAAAATCATCTGTTGATTTAATTGAGCCAACTCTAGTACAGTCTTACTTGTTTCTTAATTAATGCACTTATGTGACAATGCATTTAAAGCAGTTGGGATCCAGAAGGTAGGTCTTTCTGATTTGATTAATAGTCACTTGGGGGCTGGGAGCCTCTTATTTAAACCTATTAGGGCCTGGTGCATGGGTCTTTATGATTGAAAGTTGATTGGTATGAAGCCTAGTTTGCTATTAGAGGTACAAACTAAATTGTCAGTTTGTATTTGGGGAATACATTGTTCTTATTGGTACAGCACTTATCTGTTAGTTTGCTGTACTGAGGTAACTGATGGTTTGCTGTGCTACTGAAAGCTATGCCACTGGTGTGTTAAATGCCATAGGGTTACCCATGGTAGATGGGTCTTAGTAGAGCTCTAAGATTAAGACAGACTAGGAAGTAGGATTGGCCATCCACTTCTTAAATAACAGGCCTCTGAAAGCACTATGAACAGTAAAGGAACATGGAGAGTTGTAGTATTATAGGTAGATCTCAGATTGGAAGTCAGTTGAAATGAGGAAAAATAATGGCAAACATCCTTTAGTAATTGAAAAATGGAATGTACAAAGCTTGAATGTTATGAAAAATGAAATGGAACACATGAACATTGACATCAGTGAGATGAGATGGACTAGCTTTGGCCACTGTGAATCAGATAATCATATGGTATACTATGTTGGGAATGAAGAATGGTGTTGCATGCATAGTCAAAAAGTCACTTTTAAGTTCTGTTTTGAAGTACAATACTGTGATAGGATACTGTCCATACACATACAAGGATGTTATTGTTAGGTGCTGTCAAACTGAGTATGACCATAGCAAACCTATGAACAACCAATCTGAACCCTGTCTTATCATGTCCCATCCTCACACTTCCTGACACATTAGAGCCCACTGCAGCAATCACTGCAGCAATCCACTTGGTTGAGGGTCTGCCTCTCCTTTGCCTACCTTCTGCCTTTCTGAGCGTCATGTCCCTTTCCAAGGAATACTCCTCTCTAGCAACATGCCTGAAGTATGTGAGGCAAAACTTTACCAACTTTACCTCATAGGAGCATTCTGGATGCACCTTCTCCAAGACATATTTGTTCTTTTGGCTGTCCATAGGATGTTTGGTACTCTTCTCCAACATCACAGCTCAAAGGCATCAATTCTTCTGTCATCCTTGTCCATTGCCCAGCTCTTAGATGCATAGCAAGTGATTAGAAAGACCATGGCCTGAATCAGATGTACCTTAGTCCTCAAATCGACATAATTATTGCTCAGTAATTTGGAGAGGTCCCTTACTGCACACTTTCCCAGGGCAGTATGTCTCCTCATTTCCTGACTTCTAGTACCAAGCATGTTGATTGTGGAGCCAAGTAAAATGAAGTTGACAGTCTCAAACTTTTCTCCATCTATCATACCTATATTGGTCCAGTGGTAAGAATTTATATTTTCTTGACATTGAGATGCAATCCTTATTGAAGTTTATATTCTTCCATCTTTAGTAACAAGTGCTTCAAGTCCTCCTCACTTTCAGCAAGCAAGGTGGTGGCATCTGCATAACACAGATTATTGATGAGTTTTAGGTTACTGATGAGTTTTCCTCCAATCTTGATGTCACATTCTTTTTCAGAGTCCAACTCCTCGAGTAATTTGCTCAGCATACAGACTGAATAGGTATCAGAGAGAATACAATCCAGACAAACTCCCTTCTTAAGTTTAAACCATATAGTGTTCCCTTGCTCTGCCTGTTGGTCTAGTAATATTGTTATCATTAAAGTCCTTGATATGGGGGTGGGGGAGGAAAATGTGCAACAACGAATGAATGGAAATCCAAATTCTCTATAAATTTTCAGAAAATCTCAGTTGTTGTTTTGTTTAAAAAAAGCCCTGATTGTACAACCCAATGATTAATCCCGTCTTCCCCCTGTACATCCACATCCCTCTGCTTCCAGCCTCTCCCACCCCTCCTGGATCCTTATATTCATTCTACAATAACGATCTTATACAATATTTATCCTTGTGGGACTGAGTTAGTTCACTCAGCAAAATGCTCTCCAGTCCCTCCCAAGTTAGGTGATAATTTACAAAGTTATTGCTCCTGCGTGCTGCATAGTATTCCATTGTGTGAATGTACCCTAAATTTGGGAGGTGAGGGAAATTGAAAGAATTTGTTCGAATTTGTATTAGAATTTTGTAAATAGTAGGGGGGGAAAACCCCTGATATATAGATGACACTTAACACGGTGCATCGTCCCCACCCCGCCTTGTCCCCGCCCATCTCCCGCCCCCCGCCCCACTGCCCTCCAATTGTAACTCCGCCTCACTACCCGGGGGCGGGGCGTGGTCTTCACGCCCTTCCTCCCCGCCACGTTGCCTTGACACCATGCAGCTTCTATTATCTTCTGTCCCCTTGCGCCTTCTGAAAGCTGCTCTGAAAGAGCCGACAGGAAAAATAGTCCCTTGGCAACGGAGTTCTTTTCACCGGGGCGATGGAACACGAGCAGGTGTTGAGACCGGAAGTCCGTGAAGTCTGTGGCGGGATTGGGCCAGGTCTCTCGGAGGGCGGGCCCAAATGGGCGGAGGGATTCACTTGACACGGGACTTCCGCCCACCGCCTCCATTTAAGACAGGGGACGCAGTCGGGGCGGCGGTTGCTGTGGTTTCTGTTTTGACGTATCTCTCGTTCGCTGAGTCCTGAAGCTAGCATCTCAAGTTCAAGTCCAGCTTTCGGCAGTTACCAATCGGACATAAGAGTGCAGAATCACTACATCAGCCCGGAGTCGGCATCTTGCTTGGTTCTCACCACTCGGTGCTTCTATTTACTCCGGGGCCTAAGTCGGCGCCGGCGCGGCGGAGGAGAAGGCCGCCGGCGAGATGTTCAAAAACACATTCCAGAGTGGCTTCCTCTCCATCCTCTACAGCATCGGGAGCAAGCCTCTGCAGATCTGGGACAAAAAGGTCAATAGCTCGGGGCGTGTGGGGACTTGGGCCGGAGATCTGCTGAGGGGGCGGTCAGTGTCCACTTGAAGCGTGGGGGAGACCACGTGGTCTCTGTGTACTCCCCTTCCTCGAGCTCCTGCGACTGGGGCGCCGGGCGTCGTGTGATTGTAATATAAAGGGGTGCATTTGTGCAGAGGGTGTAGCGTGGCTGGGTTTCCAAGCATCTGGGGCTGTGGCGTAGTTAAGAGAGCGGACTCAATCATTAGTCCCTCGGACCCTCGCTTTTCCGTCTGCATAGCGAGATGGATGGTGCCCCATGCCACAGCTTGGACTAGAAAAGCTACATACACTGGGAGCTTCGGAGATGTGCAGATGAAGTGGGGCTGCTGTCATGTTTCTGCCACTGAGCCGAGCGCTGGACACTCCGTGGTGTGTTTGGGTTTCATTCATTGGCTGTCGATCTCAGCCAAGCCAGTGGACTTTGTCACCTGCGCTGTGTTCTCACTGTATCTTGGGGTCTTGTCCTGTCTTTGGGGCCTGATTTCTAGTATTGCAAACTGGTGCAGGCCGACCATCTGGACCAGTAAACTCGGAGCCTGCTGCAGGATCTTTATTCAGCAGGCGTTGACCCCTAAGATGATTCTGACCATGTTTTGGACGTGGTGTGTGTGTGTGTGTGTGTGTGTGTGTGTTTGTGCATCCTCTATGACTTGTTCCATTTTATTGTTTTGGCATTTTGTGACAGCTGTACCCTTTTAAAAAAATGCAAGTTTAGCTTTCATGACTTAAGGACTGTCCTTGACTCTGCTCCCTTGGGAGAAGTTGGAGATGTTGGGGGAAGTGTGGCATGCTGAATCGAGCAAATTGGTATGGGTTGGCAGCCCTGGTGATACCCTGGGTAAGCAGCTGAAAGATGAGAACTGGGCGAACCCAGTAGCTCCTCCAAGAGAGAAAGATACGCCACCAGGCTTAAGAGTAACAGGTCTGCCTGTGATGAGTTTGTTTTGTTGTACCAGTGAATGGTCAGACCAAATCACCATCACAAAGATTCTGCCCACATGTTGGAGCTGAGGAGTACTATGGTGTAAAGCGTTTCCTTCATTTTTGTCTAGATTGTTGCTGAGGCTAATAGTTCCATGCTCTTGTTCACAGTGGAGTAAAATGTTATTAACCAGATTGCACTTCTATAAAAGGAACCCAGGGTGAGTGTACCTGAAACTTCAAATCAAGCCCTTGCTTGATTTTTTTCTAGGTCATCTGCTGTGCCGGTGAGGTCATTGAACCCAGAAGTGGGATTGTACGTTAAAGAGTGTTAGAGGTAGTTGAAACACTGGTACCTACCTGGCCTAGGGAGAAATTTGCAGAGCAGGTCAGAGAATTTACTAACCCTTAAATTCCAGGAGTGGAGTGGCCTCAGCACTCCTTAGATAAAACGTGTGTTATTAGAGTTGCCTATTTTAACCCTTCTGGACATGGTCTTCTTTGGTATATTTCATTTTCAAATGCAGCTTTTTGAATAGTCGTTATGTTTACACACAGAATATAAAAGCAAAGTAACCATGGTGCACTGTGTCCCTTAACAACGCCACTAGAGGTCGGATGGGTACCCAAATGACATAAACACAATTGAAAACAGTTAGAGCCACCTCAGGATTACGTGGCCAACATCGACCGTTAGAAAAGCATTCCTTTTAACCCGAATCCTTGTAACAGTGAAAATTACTTGAATATTTCTTTTCTTATTTACACTCAATTGAAAGTGTTTAGCAGTGGAAAATTTTCCCCCACTGGACAATATAGGAAGAGGGGAAGTTTAGGGCTATCCCTCAGGCTTTCTTGTATGCATATGTGTTTGGTGGTGGTGTTGGGTTTTTTTGGTTGTTGGTTTTTTTTTTTGTTTTTTTTTTCACAAATACGAAGTTCTCAGAAGGTATTGAGCATCCAATTGACTTGAGGAAACACTGGAAATTTATTTTCTTACCAAAGTTTATTGAGCAGCAAGTAAGTGACATTTGTCAACTTAAGGGGATATGTATAGAAGTTCTTTTTCTTGTTGGTAGGAAATAAGATGAACTTGTTAAAAGGACAAGTTTTGGTGCAGGGAGAGGAGGGATATCCACGTTTATCGAGAGTCCTAATCTTTGCCCATTGGCACTTATTAACCATGTGATGTCTTTTTAAAAAATTAACCTTTATTATGGTGGTGGCCATGGAGGTCAGAATCCACTAAGGAATGTGTAACAACTCACCTGCCAAATTTAAAAAACACACAACAAAGAACACCAAAAGACCTTTAATGGTGATTTGAGTGAAAGTTTACAGACAGATTGGGGTTGTGTGTCCTGACATTGATTTCTGTCTCTGCCTCCTCATGCACTCTTCCCCTTCCTCCCTGTCATGACCGTTTCTATTCACCCTGCTTTTCCATCCCGTCTTGGCCTCAGTGCTTTATCCCTAAGCAGGTGCTGGCCTTTCGATCGTGAGTGGTCGTTTGTCCTGAGGAATAAGTACCTTTTTGATTTAACTGATCATCTGATAGGTTTGTCTCTTGTTTGGTTGAAAGTTGAGTCACTGAGGTGATGATTTCAGTTCCTGGCTTAAAGGAAGGAAGACAGCACATTGCCCTCCCTTGTCTGTCGGATGGATTGACACCGTGATGTGGCAGTGAGGTCAGGTGTGTCAGAGACGGTGAGGTTGGCTCAGGATAAGGGTCCAGTTCAGAGCCATTGTTCATAGGCTCGTTATGAGTTGTAGGGGACTCGATGGCACATAACAAGTAACGACAACAACAAGAGCCATAGTCTTTGCGTTCCACCTTTTGCCTAGTAATGATTTTGAGTTATGCTTCACTTTTTCCTCCCACTCTTTAGGGGCCTTCTTTAGTGATTGCTTTCAGAGTAGTGGCGGCCAGACACGATTTCATTCTTAAGGCTTTTGGATTTCCTTCTCATGGTTTACCTTTCATGGTGGAGACTGACATTCATATGATCTGCTAGCCCGTAAGGAGCTCTAATGGCCTAATCCATACGGTGCTGGGCTACCAAAACGTGGCTCCTTGGGAGAAAGGTGGGCATGTTCCTCTGTTACAATGTCCTACATTGGAAACCGAATGGAGGGTCAAAACCAACTTGATGACAATGAATTCTTAATCCTTTGAGCTACTGTTGTAGTTGTGTACAGTTCAGTCAGAACCAACCCATAGCTGACCCTTCAGTGGGTTTTCAGAGCCAGTTAATTAATTGCACAGGAGGAGATTGCCCATCCTTCTCTCATGGAGCAGGCGGTGGATTTGAACTGTGTGCCTTCAGGATTGCAGCACAAAGCCAGCAGAGCTCCTGCCTTTGATTGTCCTCACTCTCTGTCCTGGGTGAGGAGAGACCACAGTTGGACCTGATATGGCTGCTTACACGTTTTTAAGCCCCCGCATTTGCTACTCACCATAGCAAGATGATGCAGGCACATTGTCTCTGATGCCTTTCTTAAATTATTGTTTGGATTTTACAAAACTTTTCTTTCCTGAATTTATGGAGAGATTATCTTTGTGATTTGGTTTCAGTTGGCTTATTTGACATTTTATGTTTATGACAATTACAGAAACTAGCTGTTTCATTCACTCATGACAGATGTAAGCAGTAATGAACGCTGATGTGTGGGGAGCGAGAATAACACTGGCTGGGAGCGTGTACGTGTCACTTTGATTCTGGGTGCCTCGGCAGCCATGTAATGATGTAACCCTCCATTTGTAACTCTGATTTGACCACCCTCTTCCTTCCCCCAGGTATTTTCATGTAACAGCCTGATCTCAGTGGACAACTGAGACGTTAAGTGCTTCATGAAGCATCGAGCTTGGCTAGCTCTCCAGGCTCCTCTCCAGCTTCCTTCCCTCTTTGAAATGACTTAGGCTCAGCCTTTTGCACTTGCTGGTGCCTTTGCTGGATCCATCCCTCACCCTCCCTTCATCCATCTCTCCATTCAGTCTCTAAGTCACAGTTCAGATTGACTTCCTCAAAGACACCTTCCTTGATTCTTAAGGCTAAGTTCATTTATTGCCCTTTGTGCTTTTTAGATGATTCTAACTCACAGAAGAGCTTGTAGGACGGACTAGAACAGGCCTATAGGGTTTCTTGATCCATATCCCCAGAGTTACTTCTGATTCATAGCGACCTTTAGAATTGTTCCGTAGGGTTTCTGAGGTGATCAGTCTTTACAGGAGCATACCGCCTCATCTTTGTCCTGCAGAGTCTGCCTGGTAGATTTGAACTGCTAGCCTTTCAGTTATCAGCCCAAACTTAACCCACTGGGCCATCAGGACTCCCACTGGGCCATCAGGACTCTTTAAATTTCCTACCAAAAGTACTCCACTGCTGTCAAGTCAGTTCCAACTCACAGTGACCCTCTTTCATGTTTCAGAGGCTGAAAATCTTTGGGGGCCAACTGCCTTTCTTTCTCTTGTGATGGAGACAGTCATTGGTGGATTTGACCTGCTGTCTTTTTGGTTAATAGCCTGATACATTCATTACACATTGTGCTCTCAGGGCTTCTTTAACATTTTCCCATAGTAAGGCTGCCTGTAATTTTTATGGAATCGTAAAAGCCTTGTCACCAGCAGAGCAGCCACCCACTTTCTAGTCAGCAGCCTTGCGCCAGCTGGGCTCCTTGTTAGTTTGTATATACACACAAGAGTATGTGTGTTTTATGTTTCCTTTGTAGCATTGGGCTTGAAATTAGCTTCTTTGTGTCATAGTAGACTGTTAATTTCCTGAGTATAAAGACCTTTGTAAATTTCTAAGTCAAGTGCATAAGAAGAAATTAGGATTTTCTTTAATATCTGTTTAAATTTATGGGAACTTGGTTTTGAGCTGCTAACTGCAAGGTCAGTAGTTCAAACCCTCCTGGAAGTAGGAAGCCCTCTGGGAAGCCTAGTGGTGTGCTGCCATGACTCCAGATGAACTCAGTGCTGGTGGGCTTGGCCGGGGTGTGCTAACTTGAGCACTGTTCTTTGGGATTCGAGTCCTGTT